AGCGTAAAAATTTGCTTCATGAAAAATATTACCATTGAAATCTACCTGATGATTTTATATCCATGTTCAGGTGCCAAGGATCTCAAAGTAACTGACTGAGATACATAGAGATTAGAGACACGTGTGCAAACATCTAAGTGTTAGTAGCATTAAAAATGAGTTTTTCTGTATATTTTTAAATGAAATGGTTCCATCTGCAGTCAGGAAGCAGGAGGAGATGAATGTGCATTCTCAACTGGTTTTGCTCTTTGTGTCATCTAAGACCCCTTCAGGGAATGGTGAGATCCACTCTTAGGGAGGGGTTTCTAATTGAGACAATCCTTCACAGCATTCCCAGAGGCTAACCCTGATCTAAATAGTCCTGTACAAATGTGCCTGGAGACTTGGGAAGTGTTTTCTTTCCATTAAAGAGAACCAGTTTTTATACATTTATAGCTCTAAGGTGAAAATCTCCTGTGTGATTCCAGAGCATATTTTTTTAAAATTATATGTTAAATATTTGATTAAACATATTTTCAGAAGTTACTCATTAAATGATAACTTCCTAAGTGTTTATTTGGACTGATAGTTGTTACAAAAACTGATATTTATTGTTAAACTTCAAAATTGGGCTGTCCAGATGGCTGGACAGGTAAAGGTGCTGGCCACCAAGCATACGGGCCCGAGTTTGATTCCCCACTACTCACTTAGTGTATAGTGATTATCAGTTTTTGCCAACTTAACACAAACTAGTGACATCTGGGAAGAGGGAACTGCAATTAAGGAATTTCCTCTATCAGATTGGCCTTTGCCATGTCTTTAAAGTGTTTTCTTAATTGTTAATTGATGTAGGAGGGCCCAGCCCACTGTGGGCAGTGCCATCCCTAGGCAGGTGGGCCTGGGCCCTGTAAGAAAGGTAACTGAGCAAGCCAAAGTGAGCAAGCCAGAAAGCAGTATTCCTACATCATCTCTGGTTCAGTTCCTGCCTCCAGTTCTTCCCTCAGTGGATTGTGACCTAGGAGTTGTAAGATGAAATAAACCCTTTCCTTCCCAAGGTTTTTCTTTTTCTTTTCTTTCTTTCTTTTTTTTTGACTTTTGTATTTTTTTTTAAATTTTATTTTATTATTGATTTTTTTGGTGTGTTTCTTTTTAAAAAATATTTGTATTTTTTTAAAT